AATTTTAAGTTGGACGCTTATAATTTTCATGTTTCATGTTTGGTGATAAGTTTTTAAATGTTAGAAAACTTAGTTCTTTTAAAGGATATCTCTGAACTTTCTGATAGTTTCTCCATACATAACTCCTTGTATTTTTTTACTTTATAAATAAATATTATCAACATTAGAGATAAATGTTTATACATTATAATCAATTAATGCTAACCTATTATATTTTAATGTAATAATATCAAATATTTCCTCTTTTCTTTGCCAAATTTCAGCCTTTTGTGATTTAAACTTTTAAGGGTGTGTTTTGCAATTTTTAAATTTAATAGTATTTTATGAAAATTTTAAATTTTAAGTTGGGCACCTATAATTTTTATGTTTTATGTATTTATGATAAGTTTTTAAATGTTAGAATATTTCTCGTAACTCTAAAAATTTGAAAGTATTTTTATAATTACTAAAATTTTGGGTTGTTTTTTAAAAAATTTAAATTTTTAGCAAAGGGTGGGGAAGGTAGGTAATACAGTAAATAATACATAAATAAAGGGTAAGAAGTATTCAAGTTGGTCATAGGTCCAGCACGTGAGAATATTTTAGAGAATATTCTCACATCTGGTTAACAGAAGGTACCAACTTGCAAATTTTTACCAATTCAGGGTATTTTTTGCTATATTTTGTAACTTAGGGTATATAACTACTTTAAGAGCGAAACACATAGGGTATATAAATTTAATTTAGCCTTTAAATTTTTGAGGTTGTTTCTACAATTTTTAAAATATTGAGGGTGTTAATTACAAGTTTTAAATTTTTAGATATCATGTTTGTTTTTAAGTTTAAAAAAGTCAAGGTGTTTTGTGTAATTTTAAAATTTTAAGGCTATTATATGCAAATTTTGAAACTTTTGGGTTTTTTTATAATATTTCATGTATTATAATATGTTATCTACGTATAATTTCTTAATCTTATTTTTTTCTATATTTTTGAGTTATAGGTAGTTCATATGGAGTTAATATAGGATATAATTAGTATTTGGATAGATTAAGGTTTAAGTAAAATATTCAAAATAACTTTTTTTAAATTGTTAACCTATAGATAGTTCACGTGGAATTAGATAAGATATGATTAAAATTAGAATAGATTAGGAATGTAATATTAAAAAATAAAATCTAAGGGTAATACTGATTAAAACGCTTTAAATCAATACAATTTAAATAATAACTAGTTTTTACACACGTGTAATGCACGTGATTTAATACCATGATTAAGTATTTTTGGCAGTTTGTGTTCATTTTTTTCTTTAAACTCTTACATCCCGATTATTTTTTTATGTTTGTTTAAATGGGATACACCCAATTTAAATTTTCATGTTGATATTTGAATTGACAAAAAACAAATATAATTTAAAAATAATTTGAATTTTCATATTATTTTTGACCGATATGAAACTAAGCTTTATTTGAGAAAGTATAGCATTGCAAAGTGAAAAATATTAAAATAGTGTTATACAAGGAAGGTGAATATTTAAAACCAATATGGCAAAATGATTGATTTCAAGTATGTTAAAACGATGCAAAAGAGAATATGAAGTTTATTCCTAATCATTGATAGACTTCATAAAAAATGTAAATTAAAGATTAATACTAACTCTAGTATATTTTTATATGATAAAAACATCCACATAAGAATATAAAAGTACTGAAAAAAATTCATGAAACTCCATTCTAAAGATTCCTAATTTCATTCAAAATAATTAAACTATTCTATAAAATATTCATAAAATATTATTTTTATTTCTTCTATTTTATTTTTTATTGAGTTAAGATCAATCCTTCTTCAGGTTTATTATTTATCATTTCTCGAACAATTCTAGAGTATTGTCTTCATCATCTACATCAATTGTGACATCAGGCTAATTTTGTATTTTTATGCTATTATCTTTCTTAGGCTCGTTAATTTTTTATCATCTCATTTAACTTTACAAAGAAGTCAAGTGTACTTATGATGTTCAACACAAACTACTCAAAATATAGACTTTGATTTTTTTTTCTATTTCAATGAGAATAAATATTAATTTCATATATATAAAATTCTTTGTGTTCCTAATTTATTACTTAAATAAATTAGAAGCTATCTCTTTATTTTCCTCTAAAATGAATTCTTCTGATGTGCATCCAATAAGAATTTCTGTTATTTCAATAATATTACCTTTGCTCTATCCCTGTCATTTTCCATAAAGATCTAAACTAAATACCTGCATTATTCATTACCAATTTCTCTTAGATTATAATATTAATATTTAATTTGAAGAACACAGTATGGAATTTATGAATACTTACTAATTTTTCTTATGTCTTCCATGGAGATTTTTTCTTTGATTAGGATAAAGTTAATAAATTATTTTTTAATGTAACTCATTCAGTGCTTCATTAATAGATACGTCTTATGTTAATGCCAATTCAAGTGATTCATTGACGTTTTCTGAATTTTAGATTTATTTCCGTCACTTTCCCATTTGTAATGGAAATAACTCAATTCTTTTAAAGTTATCTCTAAATATTCTAATACTTTCTCCATATGTAATTTCTTGTATTCTTTTACCCTATAAATATTATTAACGTTAAAGATTAAAGTTTCTAAATTAAAATCAATTAATGCTAAGGTATAATATTTTAGTGTTTTATCATTTCTATGGATTTAAACATCTATCAATTATTGTTACGAATGTATTTTGGCTACCCCAACTTATTACTAAAATTATATGAAATTATTTTAATTTATATGGTGCCGATAATTTTTAATCTATAATATTTTTAAAAATTTTATCCATTAACCGAATGTTTTTAATCAATTCTTATTGTTTTTGTTTACCAGTATCAACTTAGACTATTCTTAGATGCTGAAAATGGATAGTAAATCCCTATATATACACAAAGGAAAATGGTAAAAGGGATTTCCATGCTCTTGTGCCATTTAGCTTATGACCTAGATAACTGATACTAATTTAAATGGGGATTGATTAAAGTTTTAGCTAGAACTGTTTATTAAAAGGAGGTTTAAGGTGGTGTTTTCATCTCCTGTTAATTTGCAAACTTATTATTAGTGTTCTTACGCAAATATTATTTTGATATTATGATTTAATAAATACTCATTTAAAATGACTGTACACCAACATCATTTTTTGATTGAAAACTAAAAAAGTAATGAAAACGAACTTTTTTAACGGCAAATTTCATTCAGTCAATAAAAAGATAAATATCATATTATAAATAATTTGGTTCAAACCCCAAAAGAAGATAAGCCACCCAAACATGAAGATGATCCAATTTACTATTAAATTGCTCGAATTACAAGATCTTCTACAAAACAAGTACAACTCAACATTACAAAGTGTACCAACATATTGAGAGCAATTGTAGCCCCTTTTTTGGCTTAATTTTTTTTTACACATGCAAGCATATATATATATATATATATACACACACACACACACACACATATCTTTTATTCGGATTTACCACATAAAAGAAAACTTAGTATAATATACCCATCTTAACTGCATTATGCTTTAGATTATATTAAAAAGTTATATAAAGTCAAGGCAAAGAGCTTCTTTTTCCCTTTTTCTCCTGCAATTCTGCCTTGATCACGCGAAAATGCTAATGAAGGCAACAACATCCTAAATTTAACTATTCATTGTCTTTGAAATGTTTAACTTGTAACAAAACCTTAATGAAATATTCAATTCGATAGATTGGCTAGCAAACATTCATTGAGGAAGCCTTTGATGCCTAAACAAAGAACCATAACTTGCAACAATATACAATAAATCCATACGATCAATTAATAGAGTTCAAAGGCCACTATAAAAAACAAAACAAAGCAAAAACAAAAACAAAAAAACAAAACAAAATATAATGTAACATTTAGATGTAACATAATCGGACCATTAACTTCTCTCGGAGGACCATTAGAGTGGGGAAAAGAGAAAAAAGAGGGGACTAGAGTGCAATCATAATTGCTAACAAAACCGAAACAAAGCCCGACCTATCCACGATGGCACTCCTGTAATAAGTCCAAGAATTCATGGTAAAATGTTGGGAACCACCTAAATATTATCCCGTAATAAGCACAGATGTTTAGGCGGGAACGAGTCCCTGGTCGCTCTCTATAAATGCAATCGAACCCAATTTTGCACCTGTTGATGTTGAGGGTCAATAGGTCAAGTTTACACAAAAATATGATAAACTGCATATGAATTTTGTTGAAGACATCGAAAGATCGAAATTTCTTCCAAATCCTCTACTGAAATCAATGAATTTTCTCAGACTATGCAACACCACAACCTTAAATCTCTGGAATAAAAAATGCCAACCAAAGAGGGTATTCGATAGTATTAAAATTACTTGCTTTCTATTCTTCATGTAGAAGACCAAGGCAACATCTTACCTCAAGTTTCCAACTGCTTGGAAACAAAAAGAGGAAACTAGAAACACACAGATATGTAATGGTCAAATTATCGAACTGGTGATAAAGAAAATAGCGCATTACTCACAATATGCCTCTGAAATTGTTGCAACAGCAACAACAAAATCTCTATTCCAAGTGTCTAAGATCGGCTACATGAATCATATTCTTCCATTCCGTTCTACAGGTCATCTCCTCTATTAAGCTAATCATAACTATATCATTTCTTAATTACTTCCAACCAAGTCGTTCTAAATCTACCTCTAGATCTCTTTGCTCCATTAACCATAATATTATCACTTCTCCTAGATGGTGCACTAAGAGGTCTATGTTGTACATGATCATACCACCTTATTCGGTTCTCTTTCATTTTATCATCTATAAGAGCAACCTCTAATTTATTACAAATGTACTCATTTCTAATCGTATCTTTTAATGTATACACACAAGACCATCTCAACATTCACATTTTTGCTACTCATTTTTTACACATTTTTTTTAATTGCCCAACATTTTGATCCATAAAGCATTGTTGGTACTATAAATTATTGATGAAAAAGTATATCAAAACATCGCACAATTCCTTCATGATACAGGTTACAACAAAATGATTAAATCTACCACTGCAAAAAATTACAAGGGCCAATCGTAATTTATCACATTCAGGCTCACCACTTATTTTGAAATCAAGGCACTGCCCTAAGGAGAACATTCAACGCAGGCAACCTTCTTCAGAGAGAATAAACTAGCTTGAAAACAGAGTGAAAATTACAGTTTTGTATCGAAAGATTAAAAATCAGAACCCGTTACTCTCTCGCTAACTGTGGAGCCAAAAGCTGGTCCACCTTTGCGATAAGAAATCAAGTACTCTGTAGGGTATCCTTTCAGTTTGTGGGGAACAACGCCAAGATCACTGAATTTCAGTGCTGCAAGAAAAAGAAAAAAAAAAGGATCCATGTTTGATATATGCAGAGATAATAATCTTAAAATTTTGGTTTAATATACTACTAACCATTTTCAGATACCACAGTGTCTGTGGCAAGTGCATTGATTTGATCCAGGTTGAATATATCTGGGTTGGGTAATGGAAAAGGAACCTTCTTCAATAAGACTTCCCTTGGAGAAGCAAGGATCTGCACATAATTTCCACAATGGTTCATAGTTTCTATTGCATAAAAAGATTTAGTAATTACACCATTTCATTAGGTTGAGCTACGAGGAGCATGTAAGCAGTAATAGACAATTTCTTAGTTTTTCCTTTGAAATTACTCAAACATAACTTGCAAGTCAGAGGATATTCAGAATGTAATATATACTTACCCTTGCAATGGGAAAAGGAACCTTCACATATCGTGGCCATTCACGGATTGTATCAAACATCAGCTCTGCCTGCAAGTGACTCAAGTAAGAACTCCTTTTTCGTCTATTACATATAGAAATTTTTTCAACAGTAACTCACAATAGACCGTGAAGTAAATTTAGAAAAATATAAAAAGATTTTCACCAATCTTACCAATTCATGTACAGTAAAAACGTCAGGCCCACCGAGCTCATAGATCTTTCCCATACCTGTACCATCATCCTTTAAGGAAGCTATAATTGCAGCAGCAACATCTACAACATAAACAGGTTGGATCCTGCAAATAAATTTAAGTAAAAATGTATTTTGCATTTAAAATGAGTATTATATTGCCATACAAAAAAAAAGAGCTTCACTTTTTGTTGTAACACTGATTATCCAAAGCAACCTCAAATAAAAAAATAACAGTAATAGTAATACTTTGTTGACCCATCACCCATAAGAGGAAGAAAGCTCCATTTTTTCACAAATTGTGCCCATCTATTCAGAATCCGATCTTCAGTACCAACCAAAATTGCAGACTTCATAATTGTTGCCTGCCAGAAGATCAAAAACAGTTTAGGCACTGAGCAAAACAGCAAAATAGAAAGATATAAACTCCAAGAACTTGAGCAATAAGACTTGTGTATACAAAGCTAAGATTCTGAGAATATTACATACAAGTTTCAGTAGCATTTACTATGAACTACAAATCTACCATCCACAAAAGCAGATAGAATTAAAGAAACCTACGCTATAACTCAATTTTCATGACAACGTCTAAGGTAGCTTGTTACGCTAACTTTACTGAATTGTCTCTATCACTACAATCCTCTCCTCTTCCAATGATCTCTCCTACCCTTCTGTGCCCTAATAAAACGGTGTTTGATGGGTGTTTTAAGTAAAAATACGTTCCTCATTAGCAACATGGGGTATGATCATTTGATTCTGTCTGTATTGGATTGTATCTGCCACTAGAAAATGAAACTGTATAACCCTTGTCAAAACTAGCCTATTTTCTATCTGCCTGCTTTTGGGTCTAGATTCACCCAGTTGGTCATTTTTTTCATGTGGAACAGCCAATCCGTATAGGGATTGGCTAACCGTTTAAACATTGATTAGATGATTCCAGTCATGCAAAGCCAATGGAGTTCTCCAATTGGTTACTACAGATAGAGAAAGACATGATCCTGTTGATTGGAATAGATCGCACCTAGATCTACCAGATTACCAAATAATCCAAGTGATGTGATGTCATACCCCCAAACGACTCCCACATCGACTATTAATGGAAATGTTGAAGAGTTTATAATATACGCTCTTGGATTCAAGTACAACAATGCTAGAACTTTTGGCAATGGATCGAGCCAACGTGTTGCACTCAGTAAGTCCCGGAACTTACACCGCACCAACAGGCTTGTAGGACCGGGGCGTGACAAATAGTATCAAAGCAGGACCGGGGCGTGATAAATAGTATCAAAGCAATTAGCTAGCTGGAAGTAGTGTTATCAAAAGTGCATGCCTCATGCGCCTAGTGATGTGGGGCAGTGGCAAAGCACCTTGCATCTGATGCGATAGCGCCTTACATCTAATGCGGTAGCGCCTTTTTGCACCTCACAAGAGCCTTGCATGAGAGCGCTTCGCATGGGGCGCATGCAAGACATGATCTCGTATATTTTTATTCTTTAACATTTCAATTAGCACTTATCCTAAAACGAAAAATAAACTCATTAGGCCTTTTTAGTAGTTCAATTGAGGACTCTTAACTCATTCTTGTTTACTATTTGATTTTGCTTCGATATTACTATATTAGTCTTATTTCACTTTTGATTTGCAAAATTATAAACTTGACATATTTTTATATGAAAATTCATAAATATATTCATTCATGCTTGATTATGTATATTGAAAAATTATGTGTGCAATGTGCGCACCACTTCACTCAGGCGCACACATCGCGTCGCGTTTTGCGCATATGCGTGTAAAGGTACTTTGCGCCCCACGTTGCGCATCATGCATTGATTGCACTGGCCAGAAGTGTTGAACTAAGTGCTATGCGGGACTAAGTTTTACAACATGCAAGCGTGGTGGGAGTCACCTCTAGAACCTATAGGCTGTATGAGTCACCTCTAGAGTCCATGTTACTTGGTGATGATACTGGGAATAACTAGTTGTGCCAGGATGAGGACATTGCGTATTTAAGATGGGGTTGATTGTAATAACCTAAACAACAATAGTCTCACATCGACTATTGATGAAAAATTTGAAGAATTTATAATGCAAGCTCTTGGATTCAAGCGCAACAAATGCTAGCATGTTTGGCAGTGGATCAGGCCAACAACGTGTTGCACTCAGTGGGTCCTAGGACTTACACCGCGCCAATGAGCTCGCAGATGCGAGGTGTGACAAGTGAGGTACTCTAAAGACAAGTTTGGAAACTGCCAAAGATAGGTTTGTCACAGAGAGCTTAAGCACATATAGGCTCCTACTTAACTCACACTGGACAGAAAATGGAAACATGTATGCAAACTAGGAATGTTATTCCCATCTTGATCTAAACCCTATTTTAACCTGTCTTTAGCTGTCTTCTATGGTGACATGTTTGTTTATACGAGGACCAGAGGCTCAGATGGAACATTTGAGTTATAATATTAGTAATTAACTTGGGAAAATCAACTATATCTCTACTCTCCTCATTTTCAAGTTCTTTCTCGGGAAGAGCACTATACTAATTCATAACCTCCAAACTCAAATATAAGAAAAAAAAATTGACCAGTTGGAGCTCTCCTTCCATTGCAAAAATAGAGACTGATAATGAGTTAGTTTTATCTTCTTTGGCTAATACTGTAGAGTCAAAAATATATGTTCCATGTAGAAAATCCATTTGAAATCAGCCTATCTCCAATATCCACTTTTCAACCTCAGCTCTATGTTCCTACTTCCCAAAAATCCCTCCACTATTTCACAATTCCAACCATGCCCATCTGAAACTAACAACAATCAAAAGCACCAAGATTTTTTTTGCCATCAGTCTTAATCATTAGCCTTTTGTCCCTTCTCCAATTTGTTAGCAGTTTTCTACTGTGAGTCTAGATAGCAAATACAAATTGAGTGATTCCAAAAGGTTGAAGAAATCATATGAAGTCTAAAAGCAATAGTTCTTTTGATGTATAAAATATGGATCATAAAATAAACAACCCCACCGAATAAAAATTGATTTGATTCCATAAGTTAAAAGTTAAAGATAGGAAATATATTTACCTCAGGAAATTCTCTCAATACGGACTCCTCGGCAGCAGCCTTCGCTCTCAACATTCTAGAGGGGGATGACGAAGATGCGCCCAAGCAAGAAAGTTGTATGAATCTCATGATTCCACCATGTTCCTTGGCAATCTGTGAGATTAAAAAAAACATTATTTTTATACACAGGCGTAAATTTATCCCATGATAAGAATGTAACAGCAACTAGTGCAGGAAACAAACCTATGGCTATGCAACTGCCAAACTAATATGCAAGTGATGTTGGGTCTCAAGAAAATGGACCACAGTCATAGTAGACATACTGACCTTGATGAACCTTTCCAACCATATTTCATGTAAATCCTTCAGGTTGCAAGATACATAAGGTTTTTAATGCTTATTGTTTAAAAAACCGTATCATCCGTTTCACTTTTCAACTCTAAACATGACAAGAGTGATACTAGCTTATCTTCTATCTTTAACTTAACTACCTTGAATTAAGTACTCTGGAACTTCTAGCTTAATGGTGAGAATATTATTACATTTTACTGTTACATTTTTATTTTGAACCAAATGACATTCAGGATTATACCCTTTTTGGTGTTTGGATTCAACAAGACAGTAAAAAGATATTCAGAGGCTAAAAGCATATATTTAAAATGGAGCTGCCAACATCAACTAATCAAAGTTAATTAATGTGAAACATACCACGGCAAGCTGCTCAGCCATGCCATGGTTCACTTCTTCGAAGCTAAAATTCCTTGTCTCATACTCCCTTCCTGTTAACACAAAAAATTGTTGTAAATCTTACAATATACTAGATGCCTTGAGTCAAAACAGATATATACAAACCTATGAGATTCAGAACAACATTTGCCTTAGCCATTACAGCTTTAATTGAGTCTTCATCTCTTGGATTATACTTCATTGGAACTATCTGATAGGCAACCCAAAATAAGAGATCAAACAAGACGATAAGAACTTGAGAAAAAGCACATTTCTTGGAAGAAAAGAAAACTTAACAGAAATTCAACACGATTATTATCTAACTGTCTAGTGACCAAGCTTAGTACCTGCCCCAAATCACCCATCAATTTGAGGTGCCGATGAGAATCCTCTGAGCCTCGAAAAGGAACAAGTACTTGGGATCCCATTTTAGCTGCAAATGAGAAAAAAAACCTCCATATTTAAGCATACACACTTAAGCCACACAATAATCTCTGAAGTAGAATAAATGAATTTCCATCTCCTCCATATTTTTTTTCCAAACAAATCCATCCCGAGACATAGTTGCGGATCTCAATTATGGCTCTTACAACTTCACGGCCAATTTAATGGTTTAGCGACAATAGTGAACCCTCATTCAAAGCTCATTAAAACTAAATTCACAATGAAATATTTAACATTAGGTAAGAGCAATCGGTTACAATGACGACAGTATTACTCACCAAGCTGCTGAACAACATAACGACCAAGAAAACCAGTAGCACCAAAAACAGTGGCGACAATTCCACTGCGCAACAAGCACCAACGACCAAGATTAGAAAGTCAAACAAATGAGGTAAAAAACAATATGTTGTACAAGCTTAGAAATGGAAATTCAATCTTGTATTACAACCTTAGATAATTCTAACTATCAGAACCTGTAAAGAACAAATAATAGCAGCAAGACTTATCAAGTTATCATCTCTAGCTCGCTGACCAATATCTATTAATATGTAATCCCAACACTGGAGAAACATAGAAGCAATGCCACACAAATAATATTATGACAAGAATCATCACTGATGTACTCACAAGCAGTATCTATTTCTACCCATTGTTCTGAAGAATACTAAGCGTTTAATATAGAATCACCACTTTCGGTTCTATTACACATCAGAATCTCAGATCCACATTGCATAAAGGCAGCAAATCATTCTGAGAACCCATCAGTAGACATGCTATTATCATTACCCAAGATTACACATTTCATAACTCTGACAAAAGGCTACCTTTGGATAAGCATAAACTACCTTGTAACTTGTAAGTAAAATTAAATCAGGTGCCTACAACAACATGCTTTATGAGTCAGAAATGTTCCACAATTACAAAAGGCTATTATGAGTACCCTAAAAAGTAAATAAAATAAAAACTTGTTCCTTCAGCTTTTTCTCTCTAGGAATACTCTAATAACAGACTATTGAAAAAGTTCATATCGCATAAAGCTGATGAACTTTTACCCCTATTCCATTAAGATAATGCATAGAACAAACCCCTACTTCATTGACTTGCTGAAGAAATTTCAAGACTATCTGGTGTTTTTGTGCACATAAAACCAAGGAGTGAATGTGTAACTTCTGTGTGTATATTTTTTGTCTGACACAACCTCTCATGGCTTGAAAAACTACTCGTAGGAAATGTTTTATGTTCAACCTCCTCCAAACATACTCTCCAATGTGCTACACATTGCCAAGATTTAGGCAGTCAAATAGAATTGATTTCAAGAGACGCCATAGCGAAATCCTAAAAAATTTGGCTATAGCCCAAGAATGAATTACGCGACTAGTAGATGAACAGTATTGTACCGCGAGTCCAACATCAATAACTTTGTGAATCTTAAATTGCAACCACATGCACAGTGACCCGGCCAAACATACAAGCTCAACATGGAATACCCGAATAATGAAACCAAGGCCTCGACGCTCAATCTGGATCAACATTCTAGCTAAATTTGATAGTTGACTGTTTTGACCCTGTTTGATTCATGGTTGCATCAGGAAGCATTTTCCAAGCATTTCGCCGAAGCTGATGCCTCCACTTCCAGGCATTTACTTATACCAATCTAGTGATAAAACCTAAACAGTGAACTCTCTAGCTACTAAATTCCAGAATTTGAAATAACAGTAATTTTTCAAATTTCTAAATCAAATTGAAACTTAAAACCATTTTCTCTTCGTACCTCACCGATGATCTACCTCCAGTTCCCTTGCGAACAAGATGCCCAGCGCCCTTCACATCAATCGTCGACACATACCGCCTATGATCAAATCCATACCCTTAAACACACAAATCAGCGATCAAAATCAGTAAATTCAGCAGAAATTCCCAAATGCAGAAAAAACCCTAGGGTTACCTGAAGAGGACAGAGGGTAGATGGATTTGAGAGGCGAGATAACGCGCGAGTGATCTAGAAGGCTCCGGCTTGATCGCCTCAGTGATGCCTGCATGATTTTTTTTTCTGGAGATTTTGAGATTTGAGAGGCGAAATTTATAAGGAGGCTCGAATTGAGGAGAGAAAAAGAGGTGTTTTCGAGCTTGAAGGGAGTAAAAATGAAGTCTTTGGGGAATTTGTCAGAAAGGTTAAGATGAGATTGTTTATTTGCAGTTTCAACCTATTTAGTAGGAATTTGCTTGTTTTTTAGGGAAAATTGCTTCCTTCCCCCTGATGATTTTAATTAATGTATTCAGCCCCCAAATTGACTGGTAAAATATCAAACCCCCTACATCTTTAAAGTTCTTGAATACAAACCCTAAAACATTAAAAATATCAAAACCCCAAGTTGATGTTTGCCTTTTTGTTTTGATGATGTTTTAACAAATAATTTACGACTAATATTTTTGAACTGAATTTACGACTAATATTGTTTGTCTAGTGTTTGTGTTTTCTTATTTATTCTAGACAAACAATGATTGTTAGAGGTTGGATGGAATCGAGTATTCACGATCATATCCATTGGAGGATGGAAGGAATATCGGAGTGACGCAATATATTTCAAGTCTAGATCCAAGATCAAGCTTCATCCAAGTTTACCAAGTCGAGCCATATTAAAGATCAAGATAGCTTGGGTATATATATATATATATTATACACACACACGCACACACACACGTTTTGGTTTTATAGTTTTCAGTTTAAATAGGAAACAAATGAATATAATTAGAAAATACATATCTGTTTTATGTTTATATGCTTATATATAATTTCATCAACACACACACACACACACACACACACACACACACACACACACACACACACTATTCATTAGAAAATACATATTTATTTCATGTTTATATGCTTATATATAATTTCATCAATATGAAGTTTATTTAGTTCAACGAAATCATGTTTACTGTTTTGAAAGTTTGCAAAACATGTATTTTTATGAAAATATTGTATTCTTAGTTTTTAGACTTAACAATCATTATATATATATTTCATTAAGTCTATAAAATAATTTTATAAAGTTTCAAAATATGGTTTAGTCAAAAATGTCAAATTTCAAGTATGTTTAGTTTTCATCTTTTGGACTATTTTGTAAAATAATGAGTTTTTACTATTGAGAAGTGTAATTCCAAAAATACTTTTTGTCACATGTTTATTACCATATTTATAATCATTTCCCAAAGTCTTACATTTTTTAGAATTTATTTGCTATTTTTAAAGATATTTTAAAAATCAGATTTACTGTTTTAACCAGGTTGATTATGTGTTATCAGTCGACTGATGCAAGGGATCAGTCGATTGAATAAATCGTCTGGAAAATGTAAAAGTTTCTGTTTTTATGACTGATGAACTATCAGTCGACTGATGAGTTTATCAGTCGACTGATGAGGTCTTCAGTCAACCGATGAGCTGCTAGTTGCCTGTAACGGTCAGCTCATCAGTCGACTGATACTGTTCATCAGTCGACCGACGGCCTTCCAATGGCTAGTTTTCCAGATTTTCCAGTTTTCATTATTTTATCTTTTGCTTGGTTTTTCTTAGTTTTTGAGCTTTGTCTTATGATCCTATATATACCATTTGCCCTCTAACATTCTGAAGCAATTAAGAAATTTTAAAAAAGGGTGTTTAAGGGTGTTTAAGTTTGTTTTAAGTATGTTTTACAAAAGTTTATGTGAAGTGGTTTTCACAAGAGCAAGAGGAGATCATCAATTTGTGTTTGAGCTTCCATTTTCATCTCTCTCTCTCTCTTGTCTTCATTGAAGAAGTTCTCTAAACTCAAACTCTAACAATTTATATGTTTGATTATCATTTCCATAAGCTAGATTTTTATATTGAGTTTAGCTTGATTTTATTTATACTCTTTGTTCACACACAACCTATTATACTCTTTGTTCACACACAACCTATTGAGCTTATTGTATTTTCACACATAGTATAATTGGGGTTGTGAGATTGTGTGACTTAGAGTGTGAGCTTACATTATGTTCTCATCTATTGTAAAGAACAAATTATTTGTATTTGAGCTTTTATTTGTGAGGTCATATTGTATTACATAAGTATACCAAGAGGAGTGTAGAGGTGAGAGACGTGGTCGGTCCCAAGAGGAGTGGCGTCGGTAGTAAAGCCTAGTGAGAGGTAGTAATTCCGAGCACTCGAGGGAGACACGTGAGTGTTTGTAGGAAAAATTGCAAAGAAAAGAACAAAGAAATTGATTTGTATTCCTTTAATTCTGATTACAATTTGATTACAAAAGAGAAGAGAACGAATTTGATTCTCCCCTTTGTTTAAAACTGGGTTCTTCACGGTGGCGATGGAGTGCCTCCCTCGAATGCTTGTGTCGAGTTTGCTCTCCGTTGACGATCCACACGTCTTGATTCACTGGATCGATGTCTTCTCCTCACGATTTGACGTTGTGGAGAACTTGCGTGGCAAGTTTAAAACTCTTGATGAGTTGATAACTCTGATCGAGTTTGAACTCTTGAAAAAGAGTTGATTTGAACCGAAAGTTCGGTTGATAAGCCAAGGATCAAAGCTCTCTGTTGTCGAAGTTGAAGATAATCTTCGTTGGAGGATGATGCCGATCCCCTCAAAAGCTCGCCCAAGGATCTCTCCTGTTGCTGCCAATTCTCAGCTCCAAAAAGCCAGCCTTCAGTGGGGCAAAAATCCCTCAGATCGTGGAGGAAAAACTGTTCCTGCAACCGTTCAGCTCGTGTTTGAACGAGTCAAACGCCCACGTCGGCGTTCAGGACCCAACTTCGCCTCTTAGAATTGAGACGCGAAGTTGGGTGTTGGCTGAACATTGATGAACGCGAGGGTCGCTCGCGTTTTGGTTTGTTGTAGCTTAGAAACGCGGGGGTCGGTGTTGGCTGGACCCCTACGAACGCGAGGGTCGCTCACGTTTAGCCTGTAGCTTGGAGACGCGGGGGTCAGTGTTGGTTGGACTCCTACGAACGCGAGGGTGGCTTGGAAACGCGGGGGTCGCCTGCATTTCCAGAATTGTAACGCGGGTTCGACCCCGGCGTTTTGATATTGGCACACGGGGAGGACCTCCGCATCTTGTCTTGAAGAGATTATCACAAAGTAATTTCTTTTGTCATAGCGTTGCAAAGATCATTGTCTTGTAATCTTCGTCTTGGCTCCTTGAGAATATGAGAGTCGTCAGATTGTAACTCCCGATGTTGATTGTGAATGCTGTTGAACTAGAGCTCCCATCGGTTGTCGTGAAGGTCGTCAGATTGAAATTGTAGCCTTCTGGAAGTCGTTAGATTGTAACTTCCATCATCGGTGTTTGTTGGAGGATAAGCTATCTATTGTGATTTTTAGACAGCCTACAGAACCCCCTCCAAAGTTTTCGAAAGTTCGCGGTTGACTGGGATGAATTTTCAGAATACTTTGGATCTCACTCTGATCCTGGAGCTGTTGATTTCTTATCGTAAAGGAGTCGTTCTCTGCACTCGCTTCGAAGGCATCTTGGTTGAAGGGATTTGCCACGTAGGACCTTTGTGAAGGTATGCGTCATAATCCTGCTTCTGGAATGCGGGGGTGGACCCCTGCATTTTGAATTTGAGACCCGGGTGTGACCTCGGCGTCATGATTTTTGTGACGCGGGTCTGACCTTGGCGTTTTTAAAGTTGGAACCCGGGTGTGACCTCGACGTCATGATTTTTGCAACGCGGGTCTGACCTCGGCGTTTTAACTTGAGACATGGAAGTGGCTTCCGTGTATTTTTGACTAAGTTTTTAAAACTTGTCTTTAGCTTATCTGTTTCAAGTCTCGGCTCACGTCCATTAAGCTGATGGGCCTTTAAACATGCATAGGATTTTTGGCAAACCCTCAGCCATCAATGGATTTGATAAGCCTTTACCGACTACCGTTTGAGTCGGGCTAGCATATGGATTATCTAAATCCGTTCCACATGTAACGTTGTGCTAAGAGAATGAACCCTCTTAGACTTGATGCTATGATTTTGAATACATAGACTTTGTTATTTTCACGGAAAAAGACTAACCGGCAACGCGTGTTAGGCGTAGGCTTATCTCTACTTAGGATTTGGGATAAAGTTCCCCATGCGTGTAAGGCATGAATTTTGGCGTTATTGATAACAACCTGCTACGATGTTGAATACGTAGACTTTTGTCCTTTTTTTACGGTGAAAGACTAACCGGCAACGCGTGTTAGGCATTGACTTATCCCTACTTAGGATTCGGGATAAAATTCCCCATGCATGTGAGGCATGGATTTTGGCGCTACGATGTTGAATACGTAGGCTTTGTCACTATTTCTTCCTGTGTTATATTTTTACTTGAAACACTGAAAGAAAATTGAAAACGCCAGAGGTGTAATATTAACTTAGCATGAATTTCCACTTAGAGTGAAATTCAGAAATTTTCTTTATTATCACTAGGATGATTCCAGAAAATCTTTAATCCGTTGGGGATTTCATAATGAAAACTTGCTATTCTTGTTGAAAAAGGATTAACAAGTTCATTGGGGGGTTTGACTGTTAGAGGTGTGATGTTAACCTAACAGTATTTTACGGACCTATCGCTCTATTGAGGAGAGTCGATAAATGGATTTTTGTCAGAGGTGTAGTGTTAACGTGACAGGATGTGTGTTGCGATTGGAGCAACTTTGTGGACTTATCATCCTATTGGAGAGGATTGATAAGTGAATTTGTCAGAGGTTTAGTGTTAACGTGACAGGATGTGTGTTGCGATTGGAGCAACTTTGTGGACTTATCATCCTATTGACGAGGATTGATAAGTGAATTTGTCAGAGGTTTAGTGTTAACGTGACAGGAGGATGTGTACTTGTGATTTGCACAAGATTTTAGGAATTAGCGTCTCGCTGGGGAGACTTGCTAGGTGAGTTTATCATCAGGAACAATGAGTTTTGATACATGTGATTTGAATTTGATTTTGAAGACTTAGTGTCTTGCTGGGGAAGATTGCGATTTGAGATATCATCCTATGTTCAAGGATTGATAAGTTGATTGTTGTCAGAGGTATATTGTTAACGTGACAAATTGGGAGTGATGCAAGTTGAATGCATACTCTGTGGGGATGATGATCGTCAGAAGTGTAATGTTAACTCGACGATGTGAAAG